CTATCATCCTCTGTTAAAGCTGAATGCTTTGCCCGTAAATTCTCCTCAAACTCTATTCTTGATTCATCTGGAGTAGCTCTGCCTTATTTCCCACTCAGAACTGATTCTCTGTCGAGTGATATGCATATAACCCCTTCCATGGTTTCTGTTATCATCTCTAACCTAGATTCCTACAAAGCATGTGGACCCGATGGCATTCCTGTAATAGTTATTAAGAAGTGAGTTCTCAAACTAGCTCCTGTTTTCTCTAAACAGTATCGTTGTCTTCTCCTTTCTTGCTTACTGGAAGTCATCGTCTGTTGTTCTAGATTTTAAGGACTCTGGTGAACCGTCTGACCCGTACAACTATCGGCCTATTAGACTTCTGCCTCTGGGAAACTCCTAGAGGTCCTCTCATCACAGGGCCTTTTCTCAGACAAGCAATACAACTTTCGTTTCTCCAGATCAACTGCTGATGTACGAACGATAATTACGGAAAGAATCTATCCCGCTTTATATAAAAAAAAAAAAAACTGTGAAGCACAGGCTACAGCATTGGATATCTCAAAAGCCGTCTGGCCTTCAGGTCTTCAGGCTAAAATGCTACGGTATCTCCGGGAAGGGTTTTTCAGCTGATCTAGTCGTTCCTATCAAATCATGACATGAAAGCTGTCCTGAACAAGCACTCGTCTATATCCGTTTGTACTAACACGGGTGTCACCCAGGGCTCCATCCTTTGTACGCTGTTTTTAATCTTCATTAACGACCTTCCCGATGAAATCAACTCTCAACTTGGCATCAACGTTGACGACGCTACTATTCACCCCTGCCTCGATAGTAAGGCTAATCGGTCAGACACGGTCAAAATAGCAGCCGATGTCGAAAACGATTTCAAGACAGTCATTAACTAGGAAAAAGATGACTTATCAATTTTAACACCTCCCAAACTAAACTTCTCTCCAGTAATCATCTGAGATACTCCTCTCTGCCTTTCATCAGCATGGCTGATGTTATCCTCTAAGAAGGTGACTCATCGCACCTTCTCGGGCTCACGTTCACCGGTGAGATGAGATGGAAAGACGGCATTGAATCCGTCAACAGATCAACTGCTAAGAAAGTTGGTTCACTGTGTCGAGCGAGACAGTTTTTCTCTCCGGAATCAATCTTGTATATCTATAAGTCTACCATTCGCCCATGCGTAGAATATTACTGCCATATATGGTCTAGTGCCCCTACTATTTTCGTGGAGCTCCTCGATATGATCCAAAGACGAATCAGCAATATTATAGGCCCTGATCACGTGGCTCAGCGCTTCATTCACTTTCCCACCGCTGTAAGGTTGCCTTTCTGTGCCTTTGTTATAAATACTTTCATGGTAATTGTTCGGATGTGCTCTAAACTATGGTATTTAGACGGTACGTATTTAAGCGCAATATTACACTGGCAGTGAGATCTTATAAATTTACAGTTAAGATAACTAGATTTAGCCGGAACTTCTCGCATGTGGAAATCCCTCCCGGCGTCATGCTTTCCAACCAAGTTTTAACAATTTAAATGCAATGTCAATCGCTATTTACTGTCCTCCTCATTACTAACGTTTCTGTTCCTAATTCTTCCAGACCTTGTAACCCCTTACGTGTTAGTGGCTGTACTGCTTGCTTGGGGTGATACCGATTTTTTTAAAAAGTACATAGTCTCCATTGGTTTTAACAGTTGTTTACCATCGTGCTGATAACAAATATGGCGCCAGTTTGTTTACATTGCGCAGATCAGTACGAAAATTTGCGCAGGTCAGTATTGCCAACATTGTGTGAAAATTTTATGTGAATTGATTGGACGGTTTTTGAAATATTAGAAAAAAAGTTATCTCGATAATAATTTGGCACGCATTGTACATATATATATATATATATATATATATATATATATATATATATATTAGATCATTGCAAAAGTGCGTAACCAATTAGAAATTTAAAACAAAATTTTACATATATCCAAAAACATAGTCTCCATTGATTTTAACAACAGTCTCCCATCGTTCTACAAGGTTGTTGATGCCATTTTCGTAGAAACCTCGTGTTTTTTTTGTTGGAAGAAGTTTGTAACGTAGTTTTCTGTAGAGAGTCAATTTTTTTTTGTCATTTAAATTGTTCTTACGAGAGCGGAACAAACGGAAATCCGGAGCCAAATCAGGTGAACAAGGTGTGTTCTGAAGCGTTTCCCCGTTCAACTCTTTCAGCTTCTGCAAGATCTGTTTTGCAACAGGCGGTCTTGCGTTGCCGTGGTGGAACAATGACGCCTTTTCTATTTGCAAAAATCGGCCATTTTTCTTGAGATTGGTAACTTGGTTAAAATACTTTTGCAGTTATTGTTTTGCCGGTGAGAAGAAGCTCAAAGTAATTTTTTTCAAACGAGCAGCAATACCTTCATGAAATGCAAGCCCCATTTAGACACGGGGTCTGCACTTTCATAAGCTTATTTCCAGCTCCGTTTGCGTCGAACGTTATCATAAACAATCCATTTTTTATCGCCTGTGACAAGTCAGTCCAAGATTGGCTCCTTTACGTGGCGTGACAGCAAAGAAATCGCCACAGAAGTTCGATCGAACTTCTTCTCTTCCATTAGAGAATGTGGTACCCACGTATCGAGTTTAGAAACGAATCCAAGTCTCTTTTCATAAGGCGAAATGTCGTTGAGATATCGACTTCCAAACTCTCAGCAATCTCTTCCGTCGTTTTATTCCCCACAATGGCAAGCAGATCATCTTCATCGACGTCAAAAGATCGCCCAAATGGTGGTTGATTGTTTAGGTTAAATTCTCAATAATGAAATCTGCCAAACCATTTTTGACTGTCTGAAGAATTGGTATGATCCAAATAAACCTTCAGCATGTTTTTTTGTCACAGATCCGACGCTTACTCCTATCCGAAATTCATAGTGCATAATATAGCGAAATTTCAACTGTTCATTCTCCATCTTTAATATATATATATATATATATATATATATATATATATATCCAAGTATATGATTGGTATATATGGAATGAATTCCAATAACCCAAAAATACTATTCTTACAAGAGTGCTCAATACAAAGTAGAGCAGAAAACACTTGATAAGACACCGAGGGTGTTGAAACAAAATGGCTATTTTTGTAGTGATTTTATAACATATTTATGTTATAATTTTTTTTTAAATAAATAATTAATTATATATATATATATATATATATATATATATATATATATATATATATATATATGGCGTTTTATATATAAGGAAATAATCTTATATATAATACGTCGGTTTACCAACCAGAAACCTAAGGTAAGAAATGGCTTCATGGCATTTTCCACTGATCATTTTTCAAAATGGTCTTGTTAACAATTACCGATGTTTTGGCCACCATTTACTGAGTGTAGCTTAGTTTGAAAATGATATCAAAATGTCGGATAGGACTACCCAAACTGATCGGTTTATAAGACTAAATTTTTACCTATTTCCGGTGACTAGACGCCCATTAGAAAACATAATTCAGACACAAATTCTCTGTACAGTTAGGCCCAGAGAGGGTTGACATCACTATACGAGTCAATTGGTTTGCCTAGCTAGCTAGTTAGTTCTCAAAGACATTTAGGTGCCAATTACTAAGCGTAGATTAGTTTGACATAAGGTGCCAGTGCTGTGTTGCCCAGATAAGATTGATCTTACTACCCTTGGAAATCGGTTCGCTGTTTGAAATATATCAAACTTTGTTATATTTGTAATGATATTATGAAATATGATTCTATCTCCTGTCTATCCAATCTATGGGTTAAATAACAGAGTAGACTGTTTGGCATCCAGTCTAAGAAAAAGTAAATTCAAAACCGTGAGGAATTGATAGGTCTTGGAAAATTGGTTCCCAGTGTGCTGCTAGACGATTTCCCCCACCAGAGTCTACCATTTGGTTGTCCCTTTCATATTGTTGCCACATCTAGTTTGGTGCTTTTGCTAAGTCTCTAGAGATACTTTACAAAATACAAAGACGAATCAGCAATGTTTTTGTTTACATCTTGATTTCAATCAATTTCCCACCACTGTAACGTAGATTTCCTGCGCACTATCTAGAAATATTTTTATGACAATTTTTCTGATTAGCTTTCCTCCTTGATATCATGACTTCGTGAATTTAAGAGCAGTACTAGTCTGGCAGCTAAGTCTCATCATTTTACATTTGAAATTGTTATATGTAAGTGTAAGTTCTATTTTAATAATTTTTTCCCCTGCTCTTCTCGTCTTTGGAACTCTTTTCTTAACTACAGCCTCCAAAATATACCGTAAATTGCGCTTCATAAGTCGAGTTTTCATGCCTAAAACATCTTATTTGATCGAGTTTTCGAGCTTAAAATAAAACTTTTTTCGGTCACAATTTAGGATCACTGGTAGTCTACCGTATTTTAGAAGTTCGACGTATACGGAAAGTACAGGCCTAACTCAAAATTTTGAGCTAAAAAACTTGAGGTCGATTTATACACCAGGTCGACTTGTACGCCAGGTTGACTTGTACGCCAGGTCGACTTGTATGCCGCAATTTATGGTAAATGCAACGTCAATGGTCCTCTTCTGCTTCCTTAAATTCTGTTCTTTTATTGACTTTTCTACTCAATTATGTTTTCTCCGTTTCCTTCTCTCTCAGAAATCATTTGCGTCTTAGTGACTTTATCGCCTTGCTTGGAGTGAAATGATTAATAAAAAGAGCAACCGGAAATAAATCCGCTATATTCCCGAGCGAGCATGGCAATTCAAAGTTAATAAAGAAAAGCAATCTATGGAGAGTCATGATCGTCAACGTCCTGAAAGGATATGGCTTTAAAAAATACAATTCAAGGTTAATCTCATTTTTCGACACTTAAACTAAGCATTTATTCCCGCTTCTGATTAGTTTTCAGCTGGCAAGCCTGGTAAAAGCATTTAAAGGGTTTCAAAGACTGGAGCAACAATTGTAACAACAGGAAGAATGGTGCTAATAACGACAATGAAGAAGAAAGAAATATCTAAGACCTGTCTATGTCCTTATCATACCTGTGCTAAATTGCTCTCGCGAAAAGGTCGGCAAAAAATGATAAGGAAACGGGCGGGCAAAGAGAAAGAAGAGAGGGCAGACGATAGCGCGATGGTGGGAAAACATTTATACATAGAAGGCACGTCTTCCGTCCCACCACCGCATTCTTTGTCAGTCGGCTCCATTATAGTTCGCTTGTTCTATATTAATAGATCCTCTATCTGGCTACCGTGAGCTAGTTGGCGCGAAAAAATATATACCAATATATCACTCATACGCATGCGTGTGCATATGTGTGTGTGTGTGTGTGTGTGTGTGTATAAGCAGTCATCATTTTACTTCTCGCTTCTGTATCATCACTTTTATCTACCGTGATGCATCACTACTTTCAAATCTGAAAATAACACCTGATTACTGCCCACGTCTCCCCCTCTCCTTCTATCCCTATCTCTTTTCCACTTCATTTTCTCTCTCTCTCTCTCTCCTCTCTCTCTCTCTCTCTCTCTCTTGCTCTTGATCATTGTTTCTTTGTTTCTTTCGTTCTTCCTTTCTTTTTTCTTGTCTTATCTCGTGTCTCTCTTCGGTCTAACTTTCTCTTTCCATGTCTCTCTATTTCACACCCTCTTTTCTCTTTCTCTCCCTATCTCATCACACTTTTTTCTTCCACTTCTCTCTCTCTCTCTCTCCTCTCTTTCCCAATCTCCTTTCTCTAATTCTCTCTTTCTCTCTTTATTCCTCACCCTATCTCTTCTCTCTTTCTCTACCAAACTCTCTCTCTTTCTTTCTCACCCTATCTCTTCTCTCTCTCTTTCTCACCATTCTCTCTCTCTCTCTCTATATATATATATATATATATAGAGAGAGAGAGAGAGAGAGAGAGATAGAGAAATGGAGAGAAAGATATATATATATATATTCTGTTAATCTATTAGTCAATTTCAAGGATTTTAGTTCTGCTATTGCAAATAGTGTGCAGTTTCCTAATACGTACATATGTTTTTAATTCAGAAATATGGACAGTTCAGTATGGCTGTCTTCGTAGTCGATGTTGTCAAAGTTTATATGGGGGGTCTTCTATCAAAAAAACGCAAAAATAATTAATTTATGATGTCAGTCATTTTCAATTAATCACACACGCACACATATACAGCGTCTTTTTAGTATCTATCTATCTATCTATTATCTATCTAAATACAAATCTACTAAAAATAGGCAAAATCCACATAAAATCCAAGATTTCGAAAGTTAATTTTCAAGACTGCATCTCACCATCTCTGAAGATTGAGGCTACACCTTCTTTTAAATAAGCAGTCAGTGCTTTCAGTAGTAAAATTTGTACTTGCCCAGCTATTTTCTAATTCCTACTCCAGATCAATCGAAAGATCTATATATCTCCGTCTTTCTCCTTAAATCTTCTCATAATATTTTGCCTCCTTCGTTTTACATTTTCACCAATATCTTCCATTTTTTATTTTGTTTTGCTTAACACCCTCTCTTTTTTCTTGTTACTTTTCTTTTTACAACAGCTTAAAATTTTTATTATTATTTCCTTTGATTTCTGTTGTATACACATTTCTTTGCGGGTCCCAACCAGAAACCTAAGGTCAGAAATGGTTTGATAACATTTTCCACTGATTATATTTGTTAGAAAAATAAGATCCCACACATTTTACAAAAAGCTCTTCATAATGTATGATATGTACTTGTGAGTATAATCCTTTGTATTTCTTTAAGGCATGGGTTACCATGGGCTTCAATGAATCTAGTGGAATCTTTTCCAATCAATCCGAGTGATATGACTACAACTGGAATTACTGATGTTCTCATGTGCTAGATTTTTTTTAGATTTCCACTTCAAGATCCTTGTATTTTGATATTTTTCTATGACATTCAAAGATGCATTATAATCTGCAGGGACTGCTATGTCAGTATGAAAGTACATTCTGTTTTTTTGGTCTTTGATCACGGTGTCTGGGCGGTTAGCTTTGATTGTTCTATGTGTATTGCAAAGTCTCATAAAATTGTTACAGGTCCCATCTCTGTAACCGGGTTTGGATGATGTTCACACCAGTTTCTTTCCCGTAAAAGTTGCATATTTTCCAGTGAAGATATTGGCCCACTCTATCATGCCGGGTTTTATATTCAGTGGATCCAACCTGATGGAAGATAATCAATTGCTTCTAGGTATTTATAACATAATCTGCATTTCAGGTTAACACAATTTTTCAGTATGTGTGCATGGAAACTTCTAGTTAGCAAGCATTGGTCCAATACAGAAAGAATAAAACCTTCGCTTTCTGATTTAACCCTGCACTACGCAACCATTGATGGGTACGGGATTTGTCGACATCATCTACATCATTTGGTACGGGTAGAGTATTGACTATGAACCATTATTATTATTATTATTATTATTATTATTATAACCAGCGATTATTGTAACCAGCGAGTCTTATCTGCATTCGTTTTTAAGCTTCTTTTACTTTAATATATATGAGTTGTCAAAGATAATCGATTGGTTTGAAAACCCTGCAATTTACAGTTTTGAATTCAGCATTTTATTTCACCTAGACTGGCTGTTCTAACAAGGTTATAGAACCCAGTCTACCCTACTATTTGACCATAGTTTCAGGAGTAACAAATGAAATCACAACTTTCCCACGAGTATAGTTCAAAATGAACGCAACAGCCTCAAGAATTTGAACACTCCTTGCCAATTCCATTTATCTGTGACGATAACTGTCACGCCACCTGCCAGGATTTTCCAAATTCTTTGCAAAATTTTTCGAGGTTGTTCTGAGTGTGCCAGTATTGATGAGTACTAACGTCACATTCACGTTCCAACTCTCCAGTTTACTGTTAATATTTTAAGGTTCAGTTCTTCTTTTTGTTCATTCCACTGTGTATTCTAATGGAATATCACATTCCTTATCAAAGACAATTGTTTTTTCTGTTACTAACGATTAAATCTGGTTTTCTGATGTGAATTAAGTGAGCTGTTTGAATTTAAAGTTCTAAACAAAATATATATATATATATATATATATATATATATATATATATATATATATATATTAATCTCTATGAGTTCTTTCTGTTCTGTGCCAAAGTTCCCATTATCAAGTCACATACATTTTTTAAGAATATCACCCCAAGCAAGGAGGGAGTGCCACTAGCGCGCAAGGGGTTACAGAGAGTGAGAGTAAGAGTAAAGAGAGGTGCTTGAGGAAAGGATATACGTGGATCAGGATCAAGACATCAGAAGATGTCAATTGACATTACATTTGAATATTTGACGGTTATAGACATCAGGAAAGCAAGTACGAGGAAGGGAGTTCCACTGTCTGGAAGTGCGAGAGAGGAGCTGTTGGAGTAGAATAGTCGCTTACATTTAACTGTTTCGACAGTGAGAAGGTGGGACCGAAATGCCAACCTAGTAGCAAGCTTAAATTCATGCAGTCGGGATACCAGGGAAAGTAGCTCGTTAGAGTAGTTGCCATGAAAAAATTTGTAGAAGAAAACAGAGAGAAGCCAAACACGTCTGTGAGGAAATGGCTGGAGTCGAGAGGCCAGGTCAGGACCTATCACATTGCATATCCTTCTTTGAATTTTGTCGTAAGCTCGAGGTGAACAGTGGGGTCACCGGATGAACAATTCAAAGTGTATCCCCTTTCTCAACCAATCATTGTCCTCTTCTATATTAGCGTTTCATCCCCACAGCACACTCCAGACCTTAAGTAGAACTCGTATATACAATCGATGCTGGAAAAATGGTCGGTGCCTCGTACCGCTCTAGAAAGGCTCCTGACTCCGTCTGACATTTACAAGACTCAAATCAGATCAAAAATGGAGTATTACTATAACATATAGACTCCAGCTACCTAATCCTCACTTTACAGGCTCGACAGAATTCAAAATCGTGTGTGCGGCCTTGTGGGTGATGAAATGTTTAACACCCTACGACCCCTTTCCAGCGGGCGAAACATTACTAATCTCTCTTTATGGATGGCATATGTTCGATTATAGTTCCACCAATTCAGACATGCAAAGCTAAGGTACATACACTGAATCGACTTATCTCCATTCTCTTCATATTCCATTGGTAAGGAAGAAGTTCCACTCAGACAGCTTCTTCTCCAGAACCGTTGCATTGTGGAACAAACTCTGTAGATTATACGTCCCTCTATACTACAATCTTAAGTTCTTCAAGTCTAGGATCAACTGTTATCTATATTACATATCGTCATAATATAAAGCACTTGCTTCCCCCTTTATGTCCTTACAGCAAATTTATTTAGTGACCCTGTACCTTGAGTGGCTCTCGGGCCTTTTATTTGACCAGTTTGCCTTATCCTGTCTATCTTGTCATTAATAGTTTGTTCTGACAGAATTGTTCACGGTAATCAGTTTCATTGGTAATCAGTTTCTCGTTACAAGTATCCTTTGCGCAACCATATTTATATCGCTTATATGATGATTCATCAGAAATTTCAAATAAGAAAACAGTGGAATTTTCACGAGTTAAAAACTACCTATTATTATTATTACTATTATTAGATATTCTAGATATGAATAGACTGGTAATAGATACGTATGGATAGACTAATTTTTTTTTTTTTTTTAAGCATTTTACCCCAAGCAAGGCGGGAAGCCACTAGCACACAAGGGGTTACAGAGGATTTGGAGCGAGAGCAGATATGTTGTTGTTAGTTGTGGTGGTGGGGGGGGGGGTTTAAACCCGTTGCCTCCCCCCCTCCAGCTCTGCGTTCCTTGAAACAAAGAGCTTGGTGATATAACCAGCCTGAACTTTCACTTATTGACCAAGAGAATGAATATGAACACTTGCTGCCATAAGTGAGTAGAATTCGCTCTGCCGAAATTTACCCAAAGGGTGCTCTCTCTCTCTCTCTCTCTCTCTCTCTCTCTCTCTCTCTCTCTCTGTGTGTGTGTGTGTGTGTGTGTGTGTGCTTATGTGTGTGTGTGTGTGTGTGTGTGTGTGTATTTGCCAGCCTATCTAGTCTGTGTGTTTTTCCTCCCTCTGCCTGTTTGACTAATCTAACGTATTTGTGTTCTAAGTATTCTAACCTAATTTGTAATCCTGTATGTTCGTTTAGTTGGAAATCCCTCTTCCAAAAAAAAAAAAAAAAAGTCTTGGAGAGCAAGCGAACGTACTTCGTCAGTATTCTTATGTTCTAGTGAGCCGAATATCTTGCTAGATAAAATAGACCAGCGTGAAATGGTTTAGCCGTATCTTTCTTCCCGTTGTTTTTAATTTTATTGAAAGCAAGTACCTCAAGCCCATTGTTGATGATGGTGGGGGAGGGAATGCCCGTAAATATATGATATGAATAGACTGGTATAGATACGTATGGATAAACTAAAATTACATGCATTAAGCTTGATTTCTCAGATTTCTAAAACCATTCTCAGTATTCTTGCAAACTTCAACTGTCTCAGAATGGGCAGTTTAAATTCTTCAACGAATTTTTTATTAATTCAGTTTTTTATTTAATGGTTGTTGATGCGGTTTTGCGTACATACAACCATTATGGGTGTAGTCTTTATGCTGTGCAATTATCTCCGTTCCAGAGGGAGGTCCGATTAATTTTCAGATTTTTCGCTTACTTTCGTCATCTACGATCTGCCAATTCTTTCCTCGTCGCACTCGGATATCTCTGGATCGGATAGTTTGTTTGGAAGTCAAAATCCCTGAATATGTTATTTTTTTTTCTTTTTCATTTCCTCTGGCAGACTTTGCTTTGTGCTCAGACAATTTGTCTTAATGACTGAATTCAATCGCTTGCATAGTTCCAAATGCATGACTGCTCCTTCCTTCCCAATGCATGGCTGCGCACCTGTAGTATCTGTTTTCTGATTAATTTTGAGTCAACTTGCAACATTCACTTTTGTTGTGATTTTGCATCGCAAAGGTAACATTTACCTTTTTTTAGTCTGGTTTTTATTTTCACTTCCATATAATCGTTCATGATACATTTGTTCTTGGTTGCAATAATGAAAGTAATTATTTCTCTTTACAATTAACCCTCTATAATCCTATAATAATTGTGCTTGTCCCTCTCTGCCTTAGCACGTCCGTTACGCCCTGCCAACACCTCGTAAATAATACACTATTCCGTTTTGAATGCGTGGAAAGACAAAAGATTTATTAAAGACGCTACTTGGTTTCAGTGAAAGAAAGATATGTTCAACGTTTCCTGCTAATACCTCATAAATAATGGACTATTCCGTTTCAATCGTGTGAAAAGACAAAAGACACATCAAAGACGCTGCTTGGTTTCAGTGAGAAAATGAAAGAAAAAAGGGAAGATAGAAATGTTTAAGGTCTGTTTCAGTGAAAATGTAAAAGTGGTCAATTTGAAATCTTTTCATTTGTACCCCCTTATTTCTTTAAATAACAACCAGCATTCCTATTTATGGATGTTATTGTAAATAAAGTTAAGCTCCAATAGTTGACGATGTGACAGGGGAATTTCTACTGATATTTTATTTATTCAATCATGAGCTTAAGAATTAAGATTCATCAGAAATTTCAAATTGGAAAACAGTGGAATTTTCACCTGTTAAAACTAGCTATTATTATTATTATTATTATTATTATTATTATTATTATTATTATTATATATTCTAGATATGAATAGACTGGTATAGATACGCATGGATAGACTAATATAAATATATAATAGATATCAATAGACTGATAAAGATACGTATGGATAGACTAATATAAATATATAATAGATATGAATAGACTGGTATAGATACGGATGGATAGACTAATATAAACATATAATTGATATGAATAGACTGGTATAGATACGTTTGGATAGACTAATATAAATATATAATAGATATGAATAGACTGGTATAGATACGGATAGATAGACTAATATAAATATATAATAGATATGAATAGACTGATAAAGATACGTATGGATAGACTAATATAAATATATAATAGATATGAATAGACTGATAAAGATAGACATGACTAGATTGACATTAACAGTGCGGAATAACTACAGATAAGATTATTGAAGCTAATTCACTGTAGGTAAGAGATAGAAAAGAGGATAATGTTTTGTCTTTTTCACAGACATACACATGCGTAACAAAAGTAAGAATTTGACAGAACAAAGCTGTTGATAAGGGATCTATTTCTATTCATTTCGTGTCTCTAAATTTATGATTTTATTGCTCAGGTCAGGGTGGGGTGATGTCTAAACTAAGTGAGAGGGGATGTATTATTATAATATCTTATTTAATATTCAGTCAAATTGTATGTGAATGTGTGTGTGTGTGTGTGTGTGTGTGTGTGTGTGTGTGTGTGTGTGTGTGTGTGTGTGTGTGTGTACGTACCCGTCGGCACATTAAATGACATAAGTACATGTACGTCACTAACGCGCTACACAGACATGAGCATATACATTATATAGGCGCATGCAAAGATACCTACAAACTGTCCATGACATGACGGCGGGAAAATCAGCACCCATTTTATAATATAGATCAGTGTGAGGAGGGGGGAGGTAGTGGGGGAGATAAGTCTATGGCTGCACCTTTTCTTTCAAATAAAAAAACTTTAAAACATTTAGTACTCGCCCATGAAATTCAATTCAATCATTTTTATTGTCTATCTATATATATATATATATATATATATATATATATATATCACTCCCTTTGTCTCTTCCTCTATCAGTCTATCAGTCTTTCAATCTCACTCACTCTCTTTCTCTCTCTCTCGCTATATATGTGTGTAATATGTGTGTGCGTGTGTGTATGTGTAAGTTTGACAATAGGAAAAAATTTTAGTTTTTGCCGACGCGTTTCGTCTTCTGACTTTATCAAGGCAAAAATGAAAGCGAAATATTTTTCGTTTTCATAGTTACATTAAATCCTAAATTTAAAAAGAGAGAGACGTTTATGCATAAACCTCTTTCTGACTAATGTTAGCAACCTTTACATTAAAAGTATTTTTTTGTTGTTTTATTTTTTTTTTTCATATCGACAATATAGCAAAATTCCAGGAACAATTCTGTGGATAAAACAAATATTTAAAAGAATGACAATAGGAAAGCTAGGAGAGCTTAATAACATAAGAAAATCACGATATTGATACATGTTTTTTAATCCTATCTAAGCTTTCGGCTTACATAAGCCATCATCAAAGATGACAATTACATTACAATAAATTAAACAATACACGGACATAGCAACAATGATAGTCTGTTTATGTTTACATGGAAGATTTCCAGGCAACAACAAACTCGTGCATACGAGACGCTGGAAGCGAAAATCGTACCGCAGCCCATGACATCACACATGACCACGCGAGAGTGAAAACAAGAAATTTTAAATATGGGAAGCCGTCGGTATAAACCAATGGCTTCTGTTATCAATTATAGGCATTTAAAGATACACAATTCCGGAATATCCTTGTTGAAAACACAACTATACTTAAACATGAAAACAATAAACAAAAAATTAAAATTCTTGAAGCTATATACATAAAACAGTTGAAACCTAACCGAAACAAAATAAACTATGAAGACTCCACAAATATCCTTAAATGCCTATAATTGATAAAAGAAGTCATATGGAAGGAATTTGCTTAAAATAAATCGACAAAACGTGTCTATATTATTTAATGAAACATGCATCAATGACAAAATGCTGCCTAAATACACAATATATATATATATATATATATGTTTTTAACTTTCTTGTGTCCTTGTTTTTCTCTCCAGTTTTTTTTTTAGACATACTAACCGCAACTTCCTACCACGCACTGTAGTCTTTGAGTATCGATCAAAATTACAAAAATATCTGCCAAATTCTTTTACTACTATTGAGCTACGGTAAACGCTCATTGTACAAGTACACTATTTTTTTTATAGTCTCATAAGCTTACCTTCTGCTCTCAAGGTCTCACACCTAGCATTTTTTCGCTCGTGGTGTCATATAATTTCTTTTATTCATTTCACTGCAAGCAAGGCAATATGGCCACTAAGACGTAAGTGGTTACTGAATGCTAGACAACATGAGAAAACTATACTATTTAGGAGAAAGGACAATAAAAGAACAAGAATTAAGAAGACAGAAGATAATGATTGACATCGCATTTAAATTTTTAAAGATCAAAATTGATTGGGAAGCCAAAAGCCGGGAGAATTGCGATAGAAAAAACTGTTAGCATAGAACTTGCGGCTACATCTAGCCATTTCAACTGTAGTGATTAGACCTTATATAAAGAAGAAAAGGTTTCGAGTTTAAAATCCTAAAGTAAGACAAGCTAAAATATGAGAACGATTTCGTTAAAAACAAAGAAAAAGTATTGAACAGTTATGTAATATCACTTCTTTTATATGGCAGTGAATGTCGGACAATCTGCTCTCAGACGAAGAAGAGACTTTAAGCAACAGAAATGTGGCTCTACAGAAGGATGCTGAGAATACCATGGAGCAACAACGAAATTTTAGAGAAAATGCAAACAAAAAGGACACTTATATTTAACATCAGGAAGAGACAGTTAATATTTCTAGGGCACTTATTAGGGAAAGACGGATTGGAAAATTTGATACGCTGACGACATTTTGAAAGCAAGAGGGACAGAGGAAAACAAAGCATAATCTATCTAGCGACCTTGAGTAAATGGATGATGGAGCAAAGTTTAGGAGATATAACAAAAAGACGGAATTTATTAAGAGCTACAAAAGACAGGAAATTGTGGAGAGCCATATTCGCCAACGTTCTGAATGGACACAGGACATATAAGAATAAGAATACCCCAGTGAGGATATATCAGATGCCGTTCAAATTTCCCAGTGTATCACTAAATATGACTTATACATGAAAAGGAGGAAATGCTGATATATTAGCTTTGTTTCTTCTCTTTATTTTTCTAGTAGCAGCATGACCCGGCGTTGCCTGGGCTTGATTCAAAAATCGTACGACTCATACAGCAATCGCTATCACTTGACTTAAAATATTTTTGCCCTTCCTTGCCTTTAAATACTAAACATTAAATCTGTTACGAAAAAAGAACTAAAAAAATGAACACAAAACGATCAGCTTTAAAAAAAGGACTCGTAACTGGAAAAACCGAATGAAAAAAGAATGTTAACAACAAATACATTTTCACACCCAACCCAGTTCTGCGGAATCAGAATCAACGTTGAGTTTAAGCAAGCGAATGAGCCAATTGGAGTAAAGTGCCATGCAGATTTAAATTTTTCCCACTTGTGACAAATGCAGCTATCGATTTTTTTTTTGCATGCTAGCATGCTAGTTAACATTTGTGTCAGTCAGCTGTTGGCTCTCACGCTGGCCAATAGAATCTTCCTGACTATTTGTGGCAGCCAGCTATAGGCTCTCACTCTGGCCAGTAGAAAATGGCCGCAAACTACATGAAAACTGCCATAGAAGTATGAAAAAATCGATTATTTCCACTATCGATGGGAGTTGGGAAATGCAAAGTCGGTCTTGGCATTTTCGCTAACTTGGAGCATGTGCATGTAAATTTTGATGCAAATCCGTCGAAAATTGCGGCCGTGCATTCGTTACACACACACACACACATACACATACACACACATCCTGCCTTTTATATAGATAGAGATAAAACCATTCCTTCTGGTTTAGTCTCTACCATCTTTCTCCCTGCCTTTCTTTTCCTCTAAATACATTTCCCTTCCTTTCAGCACAACCCAAATCAATTCACTACCGACTCTTTTTCCTTTTTTAATTCTCGCATTGCAACGATGTTTATAGCACTCACAATCTTTATATCTCTTTCTCATTCCTTTCTTTCTATCTCTTCCTTCGTTCTCTTTCCACCGTTTTTCCTCTTCCTCCCTCCCTCCACTCTGTCTTTCTTTCTCGGTTTTTATTCCTCTCGCTTTTCTATCTATCTATCTATCTATCTATCTATCTATCTATCTATTGGTTTGTCTTTCTCTTCGCTTTCTGTTTCCTTCCTTATATCTCCCTGTACGCATGCGCGACACCTCCATTTCATATTCTCATCTTCCATATCTTACTCTACTCCGTTACTTTCCAACTACCACCTTGCTTCTACTTTTTTCCTTCTCGTATCTTCTCTAAAGAACTTGATATTATTTACTAAGCTTATCTTAGTACGACACAGGATCAGACAGGGTTGGAAGGGTGCGAGGAGGGAGATCGCGTTGCAGTAAACAACTACGTATTAGAAAAAAATGACAGCTTGCCTGGAAGAACAGCATTCGAAATCTTAACAATTATACCTGCATCCGAACACTGACCACTGGCGCCAGTGGAAATACGTGACTCCCTTAGCTGTAAGGTAGGCCAACCATATGTAAGCATCGATCTTTTTTTTTCTCCCTTCCTCGTTCTATTTCACTCTTTCCAAATGGGTCATTTCCGTAAACACTAACAGCGAAAGAGAGAGTAAGATATAAAAAATGAGAAAAATACTTTACGGCAGCGAATGTTGGACGATTTCCTCAAGGATGAAGAAGAGACTCGAGGCGACGGAGATGTTTTTCTACAGAAGGATGCTAAGGATATCATGGACCGAGCGTGTGAGCAACGATAAGGCCGTAGAGAGGATGCAAACAAGCAGGAGACCTATAGTTAACATCAGGAAGAGGCAGCTGAAGTTTCTGGGGCACATAATAATGAAGAAGGGCCTGAAGAATTTGATACTCACGGGTTGAATAGAGGCAAAGAGAGTCAAGGGAAAAAAATGAATGACATACCTGGCGGGCTTAAGCAAGTGGATGACAGAACGTGGTCTGTGGCAGGTAGCAAAGAGAATGAACTTGTTGAGAGCTGCAAGGGATAAAGGGGAGTGGAGAGCTATGATCGCCTACGTCCTGAAGGGACATGGCACATAAAGAAGAAGACTTGCCGTAGGTATTAAGGGGGATGTTATGAGAAGCAATATAGAAAGCGAAGTATGAGGGTCTCCCGAAAACTTTGTAGGAAGACTAAGATATAAACCAGGTGTGTCTACTTTACATTTTATATCTTGATCAGCCGACTGTTTTTTTTTTTTTTTTTTATATATATATATATATATATATATATATATATATATATATATATATACATATAGATAACTAGACTCGTTTCGAAAAACCCTCAATTTTTGATTTGCTAATCAAATCAATTTGGAGGAAAAAAAAGGTTTTAAAAAAAAGAAAGAGCTACAAACATGAACTTCTGCCGACAAAAAAAATCGCACAGATGCAGGTCTGAAGCCCAAAGAAAAAAACCCCGATACGAGTAACAACTAACTAACAAAAGAGCTCAATACAACCGTAGAGCAGACCTAGATACACCTAGTGAGCCAGACAAACCTACCTAGGTTTCACCTAAACGGATCGTCAGGGAATATGTGTTTCTCTTTGCCTCTTTAGCCAAACTTTCCTGACGATCCGTTTAGGTGAGACCTAGGTAGGTTTGTCTGTACTAGGTGTATATATATATATATATATATATATATATATATATATATATATATATATATATATATTCAACTAGATCTACCGGCCGGAATATTCGAAATCTTGTCAGAAACAAATGCGTCCTCAGGTAGGATTCGAAGCTGCATCACTTGGGGTGCACCGCCTTTTCATATGCCATGCCTAACCGCTCAGTCACGTAGGACTTACGGTCAGCGCACGAAATAGTGCTTTTGAATACACACTCTCTGCCGATCCTTGAAACATCTGTTTTGTTTGGTATCCTAATGTAAACAAAGACAATTTATTTTAGGATTAAATCCGACATATTTTTATTTCTAATTCATTTTGTTTGAACGACATTTTTTTATGCATACTCATATTCGAGTAGAAGCTCTGTTTTTAAATTAAACACTAATTTTTATCCAACTACATCTACCGGCCTAAATATACTTGTCAGAAAAATATACGTCCTACGCATATATATATATATATATATATATATATATATATATATATATATATATATATATATATATGTGTGTGTGTGTGTGTGTGTGTGTGTGTGTGGATATTAAATATATATTTATTTAAATAATTAAATTAAAAGTTAATTAATATTAAATATAGATATATATTTAAATTAATTTAATAAATTAATATTTAATTTATATACATATAAATTTAATTAATATAAAATATATATATATATAATATTAAATATATATAAATCTACTTGCTAACAAACAGTAATTTTAATTTATTTGTAACAAACAGTTATTTCTGATGAAAAATTGAGGACAATTTAAATATATATATATATAAATAAATAAATACTTTCATAAAATAAAACATTATAATTTTCAATTTGAAACTTTTTCTATATATATATATATATATATATATATATATATATATATATATATATATATATATATATATATATATGTATGTATGTATGTATATATATATATATATATATATATATATATATATATATATATATATGTATGTATGTATACGAGGATTAAACCCAACACATTTTTAATTTATTAATATTTATTAATATATTCAACCGCTAGATGTAAAAAATAAATTGTTTCATAACAAAAAATAGAGCAGCAACTCAAATACAAGTATCCATTAAAAATAACGTTTAAACAAATAAATTCAACATGTGTGTGCGTGCGTTCGTGTGTGAGTGTGTGTGCGTGCATGCGTGCGTGTGTAAGTTCGTGACTAAAGACAAATGATTAAAGATATCTTAGTCGACGGACATTATCAAAGGCAAATGTGTGGGTTTTTTTTTTGCTATTATTATTATTTTGAAACAAGTATTTATAAACTAAATTAGAAATGTTGCTAGATTCTAAAAAAATTTGAACATTGTTGCTTATAAATATTCATCAGGTTAACTGGAAAGTCAAGGTAAATTATGGAGAAGGCTAAGTGAAACGCGTCGGCTAAGATAAGTTTTCATTGTCCTTTTACAGATATATCTTAGTTATATCTGGAATTCTTACACACACACACACACACACACACATATATATATATAGATAGATAGATAGATAGATAGATAGATAGATAGATAGATAGATATATGCATATATATATAGATAGATAGATAGATAGATAGATAGATAGATAGATAGATAGATAGATAAGTTAGTTAATAAAACAAGGGAAAACGAAAAGGTACCAATGTGATCAGTGCGAAAAGAATTTATTATATACTAATTGTTAATCATAAGACAGAATTGAAGGACAGAGATTAATGTTATTAGTCCGGAATTTTCGGGCACGCCTGTGTCCTTCATCAGCGGTGCAAGAAATAAACAGAGAAACGATGAAGACTCACCAATGGTTCTTTTTTTTGGGGGGGGGGTCTTTTTTTGACTGGTGTGAACTGGTTGTGGATGGTATTATTAGTACAAATCCGATCCCTTCTTTATTCGTCGTTTGCGAAATTTTTTTGAAAATGATCGGGGTAAACGCATTTGACGATTTTGTCTTTATCGGTGTGAAAGGTGGGGGAGTATGATTTTGAACTACGGGAAGAGGCTTTTAGGATTTGGGGGTGGGGAAGACGTTACTTATGTGGCCAGTATTGATGGATTTGGCTAGATGGGGAGAGATCAAGGCGGAAAGAAGGTCTTGAAATGGACATCCAATCGGTTGTTAACTGGGGCAAGAATTGGCTGGTCAACTTTAACGCCTCAAAAACTTAATTACTCTCCATTAACCACCATAGAGATCCTTCCCTAGTCCCCATTAAAATGTCTGATAATCAACTTCCTGAGAGCAACTCCCTGCGTCTGCTCGGTCTCGTTGACTGCTGACCTGAGATGGAACAAATACATTGAGTCAATTGCTTCTTCCACCGCGAGGAAAGTTGGCTCTCTGTGCAGCGCCAGGAAATTTTTCCCCTGAATCGATACTTCAAATATACAAAACAACCATTCGCCCTTGCATAGAGTATTGCTGCCATATAAGGGCTGGGGCACCTTCTGCTTACCTCGGAGTTCTTGACAAGATCCAGAGACGGATATGTAATCTAATTGGCCCTGATCTGGCGTCTCGTCTGCAGTCACTCTCTCACAGACGCACCGTCGCCTCTCTCTGTCTTTTCTACAAATACTTTCATGGTAATTGCTCCGATGAGCTGCTTTCACTGGTTCCAAGACTCCATGAATTCAAGCGCCCTACGAGGCTGGCATCGCGCTCCCACCCTTACGCTATAGAAATTTTTTAATGTAGCCGTCTCTTCTACTCCAATAGCTTCATACCTCGCACCTCTCGCCTGTGGAACACCCTGAGAGATATAATCTCCAACTATTCAAATGTAATGTCAATCGACATCTCCAGTTACCTTGATCTATCCACTATCCTTCTCCTCATCCTTTCTTCTATCACTCCTATCGCTCCAAATCTTCCGCAACCCCCTGCATCCTAGTGGCTTCACGCCTTGTTCGGGGCGTAATGCTTAAAAATAAAAAAATAAAAATTTAAAAATGAAAGAGAAAAATATAAGAGGAAGCGCAAAAAGGGATAAAATATTTTGATAAAATTTTTTTTTTGGAAAACACACATAGTTTGTGCAGGCGTAACCACATAGATAGATAGATAGGAAACAGACTGTGATAGATAGATAGATAGATAGATAGATAGATAGATAGATAGATAGATTTAATGAAAAATTTGAAAAATTCTGCGCGACGCATTTTTTCATCTAAAAGGATCTCATCGGACTAAAGTAATGTTTTATTGATGGAAATAAGTGGAGGAGGTGATATAAACGTTATAATTATGCACCGAATGTAAAAGCTGAAGATGAAGGAACGCTAAATTTTCTGTGTTTGAATTTCTGGAAGCACAGCTCTCCCGATCTCAGAGATAGATAGATAGATAGATAGATAGATAGATAGATTGATTGATTGAGCTCAAATAAAAACAGTATTTCGATGTTTGATCTTCAGCACCAACAAGCCGGCCCATAACGGTGTTCAAGTCAACAGGAGATGGAGGTTGACGTTGCATTTAAATTTTTGAACATTGGGTTATCAGGAAGCAAAGAAACGGAAGAGGTGTTCCACAGACGAGAAAAGATGTAGCGGTTACATTTAACTATTTCACACACACACACACACACACACACACACATATATATATATATATATATATATATATATATATATATATATATATATATATATATTTTAGCTCACTCACTGGTTGAGCACTGCCGCTGTTCTTACACAAAATAGATAAGGGTCACAAACATACAAATTATATATACAAATCCATACAAATTATTATGTTAGCTCTATCACTGATATTGAGCGTTTTCCACTAAGTACCGCGCATATAAAATAAATTACAAATATATATATAAAGAAATAATTAGAAAGTGCTCAATATCAGTGATAGAGCTAACATATTCAATTGTACAGCTAAATATTATATATATATATATATATATATATATATATATATATATATATATATATATATATATATATATATGCAGGATAAGTGATTGAGGAATCGTAGAGCCGAGGACAAAGTGGACATTGAGATCAACTTTGGAGCCACAGTCTGTTTCATGCTTAAACGTAATAGTCAGGCCAAGGGAAACAGACTTTCTCCTCTGGGTGTTGACCTCAGTGTCCACTTTATATTTACATACGCTCTATCAGTACTTTAATTCATAAATATACATAATTATATATATATATATATATATATATATATATATATATAGTTTCCTGTGGGTACCTCTCTTATTCTACACCTGTACCTCTTCATTATCTAGATTATTCTTTTCTTTCATCTCTTTCTCTCTCTCTTTTTTTTTTTTTTACTCGCTTTCTTTCTTTCTCATCCATCTCGTGTAGTTTCTTTCTTTTTTTCCTTTTAGCCCCTCTTCCCACTTGCTGACTGAAGAAACCCGAGTAAGGCTGGGGTAAGCGAATCTCTGCATTTAATGATAGACCCTGACACATGCCGACTCTTTACCCTGGTGCGTTGGCAACCTGATACTGCATTGCTTACACTTCCTCTTTGACAACTCTGAAATTATTCCGAGACGTCCTACCAAAATCGCCAACTACTGCAATGTTTTAACGTTTACATCTCTTGCAGCCCCGCCCCTTCTACCTATAACTTCGTTCCACACTTTCTGATCGTGCATACTTACTTACTTACCCATTTTCTTGCCTACCCGGCATACCCACTTACCTTCAGATTCGTCCGGGACTCTCTTTTTCCTTTTTTGACTAGCTTCCTAGCAGCGTCTATGTATTTCGTTTACAGACGCAGATGTAGACAAATACATACTGTATGGCGCGCTTACCTGTCTATACGGGCAGAGGTTAAGATATATGGAAGTGTATCGACGCCTGTCTGTAAATATGAGCAAGAATATAGTTATTTACAAAGCTTAGATTATTTTTGACACAAGACCTCGTACATACAGTTCCCAGTGAGGATTGAACTCATTACTCAGAAGCTTACCATCTAACTGCAACAACGACCCTGAAAGCAACCTGATATATATATATATGGGGGGGGGTGCGCGCGCGCGCGTATGTGTGTAAAAGATATATTTAGACAGCAAGTATTCATCCAAATAAGTTTGATTAAAATGGAAGCGAGGAAGTCTGTCTGCTTATTTTTTTTTTTTTATTGTATCTTACGAATTTTCAAAAATAGTGTTGAGGAGTTGTGAATTAACTGTTCAATACTCGACCCCTAATTCGAAAATTAACAAAATACAATAAAAATTAAACAAAAAGACTGTGTTGGTTCTTTTTTATCAAACCTATTTGTGTATTCTGGAGAGGGATTGGCTCCGTCAGGTTAAAATACCCAAGTCACGGCACCCAAAGACTCATACCGGGATAAGGGCGAAAGTCAACCTAAGTCAAGCTAAGACATTTGTGCGTATGCATTTATATATATATATATATATATATATAGAGAGAGAGAGAGAGAGAGAGAGAGAGAGAGAGAGAGGGGGAGAGAGAGATGTGTGTCTGTTTGAGTGTGCGTGCATATGACAGCTTTTATTTAAGTGATGCATTTAAAAAATATATAAATCAAATATATAATGATATATAAAATTTTGTATATATATATATATATATATATATATATATATATATATATATATATATATGTATTTATATATAATAATAGCTGGCCAAGCGGCTAGCCAATCCCTATTGTAGACGCTCGCTCAGGCACGTTCCGACACGTTTGTTCAACACCCACGGAGTCAACCTGTGGTTTATACTGCAACTATACTGAGCAGACCTTAGTTACAGTTTCTGGGAAACAGCGTGTAACCTAGAATGATCAGCAATATGAGCAAAACTAGCACACTCAAAACCTCGTTCACGATGACTTGCAACTTATATATATATATATATACACTTATATATACATATATACAATTCTGTGCGTTTTATGTTTTTATTTTATTTTATTTTATTTTTACGCTTGTTAATCACTTTTTCATGCTACTGTTTCCTGGTCTAATTCAACTCTAACCAATAACAACATTTTAATAATTATATATATATATATATATATATATATTAAATAAAATTACATTTCAAACTAGTGACAACACATTACATTGCATCTAGACATATGGTTCTGTTGTTAATATTTCGGCCTGTATGACGTCATAGAATCGCATCTTGAACTTACGACCTGCGTCATCTATTCCGCGACCGTTATCGTCGCATAGCAAACTTCTATGTCAACATAACAAAATATTATCTTCGTTGATGAATGTCTTTGTTAAAATGTCCGTATAACCACGCTGAAGTTGGCTCATCAGAGTTGAAAACTTAGATCAATGACCAACGAAATAAAAAATATCTAAATGTTGGACAATTTTTTCTTTATTTTCAACCGAAATTAAAGCAAATATATGAACATTAGAACGGCTCCTGATCAGACATAATAAACATTCATTGTTTAACAATATATGTTTATATTGAAAACTTTGAAAAAAATGAATAGGCATTCTTTTTGGTGTGGTCTCACCCTCCTTAACCTTTACTCATGAGGCCAACATGTGCTATTTTAAACTTCTGGATTTATAAAGAATACCAGGATGTAGCCAATAGAAAACTGTCTATGACACTACGTAGTTCTTGAAAATAACTGACACCGTTGAAAGTAGCTGAAAAAGCAACAAATCAATCATGACTTCGGTCGGTTTATCAAAAGTTTTGATCCAAGCATACAATATCGTATTCGAAATTGGAATAAGGCAATAGATTAAATGACTAAACATTATCTGTTGTATTTAATCGATTCTGTTTAGATAGACACACACACACACACACGCACACACACACACACACACACACATATATATATATATATATATATATATATATATATATATATATATATAAAACATGTAGATAGTTAGATAGATAGATATTGGGTTTGGAACAAAAGTATGCCATCACACGCAGACAAACAAGCATATATATACACATATATATATATATATATATATATATATATATATATATATATATATATATATATATATAGTACAGTAAAAAAAATTCTAAATTACCTCATGTGGGTATAATCAATTTCAAACCGTATGCCAGTCTTCTTCAGTCCTAGACTGAGTGTCTCGGATACATGGGTATCACAGGATATGTGAATAGATGCGTGTAAACACACTAAGATAGATAGATAGATAGATAGATAGATAGATAGATAGATAGATAATGAACAGACTGAAATAGATATTTGGAAGCAATATTTCTGTTTTACTGTTACATTGGATAAGGAATATTTTGTCCGTTCATTTCAATGAAATTTTAGAATTTAATAAGTTTTTCATTCAGTTTTACTATCGTTATTACAATATTTAATTTAAGAGGACAAGAAGAAATTGAATCACTACAGGCATTCTACGCGCTCATAGCCCTCGTGAAAGAAACATTATGAGAAAGATATAAAAACTGGATAAAAAAATTACAAAATATTCCTTATCCTATTCAATGCAAGATACACACAGACACACAGAAACACACACACACACACACACACACATATATATATATATATATGTAAGTGAACATTGATGTCAACACTGTCGCCTCAGTGTTAACTTCAATGTTCACTTTTATATTTATATTTCATTCGCTCTATCTCTGATATTGAGTACTTTATCCCATAAATATAGCACACCTTAAAACTATATTTCATTATATATATATATATATATATATATATATATATATATAGAGAGAGAGAGAGAGAGAGAGAGAGAGAGAGACCAGAGAGAGACCAAGAGACCAAGACCATGTGAACCAGGAACTACCTACAAAGGATTCAATTTTGCCGTGAAGATCCTTTACTCGGAACTTTGGTAGGTAGTGCCTGGCTCAAAAGTTTTTTTTTTTTTATATATACTTTGGTCTACTTAGTGTATTGAGCACTTTTTCGTTTTCCCTTAATTAACTTGTTGGGTTTTTATTTTTTTTTTCTTTCGGCTAGGGATTGCGATGTTGGGTGATTTTTTTCTTTTGGCTAGGGATTGGGATGTTGGCTGATATTTTTTTCTTTTGGCTAGGGATTGCGATGTTGGGTGATTTTTTTTTTCTTTTGGCTAGGGATTGGGATGTTGGGTGATTTTTTTTTCTTTTGCATAGGGATTGCGATGTTGGCTGTTTTTTTTTCTTTTGCCTAGGGATTGCGATGTTGGCTGATTTTTTTTTTTTTTCTTTTGGCTAGGGATTGCGATGTTGGCTGATTTTTTTTTTCTTTTGGCTAGGGATTGCGATCTTACCTAATTTTTTCTTTTGGCTAGAGATTGCGATGTTGGCTGATTTTATTTTATTTTGGCTAGGGATTGCGATGTTGGCTGATTTTTTTCTTTTGCCTATGTATTGCGATGTTGGCTGATTTTTTTTTCTTTTGGCTAGGGATTGCGATGTTGGGTGATTTTTTTCTTTTAGCTAGGGGATTGCGATGTTGCCTGATTTTTTCTTTTGGCTTGGGATTGCGATGTTGGGTGATTTTTTTTTTTTTGCCTAGGGATTGCGATGTTGGCTGATTTTTTTTCTTTTGGCTAGGTATTGCGATGTTGGCTGATTTTTTTTTCTTTTGGCTAAGGATTGCGATGTTGGGTGATTTTATTTTCTTTTGCCTAGGGATTGCGATGTTGGGTGATTTTTTTTTTGGCTAGAGATTGCGATGTTGGCTGATTTTTTTTCTTTTAGCTCGGGATTGCGATGTTGGCTGATTTTTTTTTCTTTTAGCTAGGGATTGCGATCTTACCTAATTTTTTCTTTTGGCTAGAGATTGCGATGTTGGGTGATTTTTTTTCATTTGGCATGGGATTGCGATATTGGGTGATTTTTTTTTCTTTTGGCTAGGGATTGCGATGTTGGGTGATTTTTTTTTCTTTTGGCTTGGGATTGCGATGTTGGGTGATTTTTTTTTCTTTTGCCTAGGGATTGCGATGTTGGGTGATTTTTTTTTCTTTTGGCTAGGGATTGCGATGTTGGCTGATTTTTTTTTTCTTTTGGCTAGGGATTGCGATGTTGGGTGATTTTTTTTTCTTTTGCCTAGGGATTGCGATGTTGGCTGATTTTTTTTTCTTTTGGCTACGGATTGCGATGTTGGGTGATTTTATTTTCTTTTGGCTAGGGATTGCGATGTTGGGTTATTTTTTTTCTTTTGGCTAGAGATTGCGATGTTGGCTGATTTTTTTTTATTTTAGCTAGGGATTGCGATGTTGGCTGATTTTTTTTTCTTTTGGCTAGGGATTGCGATGTTGGCTGATTTTTTTTTTCTTTTGGCTAGGGATTGCGATGTTGCCTGATTTTATTTTCTTTTGGCTAGGGATTGCGATGTTGGCTGATTTTTTTTTTCTTTTGGCTAGGGATTGCGATGTTGGGTGATTTTTTTTTTCTTTTGTCTACGGATTGCGATGTTGGCTGATTTTTTTTTCTTTTGGCTAGGGATTGCGATGTTGGCTGATTTTTTTCTTTTGGCTAGGGATTGGGATGTTGGCTGATTTTTTTCTTTTGCCTAGGGATTGGTGATGTTGGCTGATTTTTTTCTTTTGGCTACGGATTGGGATGTTGGCTGATTTTTTTTTCTTTTGGCTAGGTATTGCAATGTTTGGTGATTTTTTTTTCTTTTGGCTAGGGATTGCGATGTTGGGTTTTTTTTTTTCTTTTTGCCTAGGGATTGCGATGTTGGCTGATTTTTTTTCTTTTGCCTAGGGATTGCGATGTTGGCTGATTTTTTTTCATTTGGCTACGGATTGCGATGTTGGGTGATTTTTTTTCTTTTGGCTTGGGATTGCGATGTTGGCAGATTTTTTTTTCTTTTGGCTAGGGATTGCCATGTTGGCTGATTTTTTTTCTTTTGCCTAGGGATTGCGATGTTGGCTGATTTTTTGTCTTTTGGCTAGGGATTGCGATGTTGCCTGATTTATTTTTCTTTTGGCTAGGGATTGCGATGTTGGGTGATTTTATTTTCTTTTGGCTAGGGATTGCGATGTTGGCTGATTTTTTTTCTTTTGGCTAGGGATTGCGATGTTGGCTGATTTTTTTTTCTTTTAGCTAGGGATTGCGATCTTACCTAATTTTTTCTTTTGGCTAGGGATTGGGATGTTGGCTGATTTTTTTTCTTTTAGCTAGGGATTGCGATGTTGGGTGATATTTTTTTCATTTGGCTAGGGATTGCGATGTTGGGTGATTTTTTTTTTCTTTTGCCTAGGGATTGCGATGTTGGGTGATTTTTTTTCTTTTAGCTAGGGATTGCGATGTTGGGTGATTTTTTCTTTTAGCTAGGGATTGCGATGTTGGCTGATTTTTTTCTTTTGCCTAGGGATTGCGATGTTGGCTGATTTTTTCTTTTCCTAGGGATTGCGATGTTGGCTGATTTTTTTTTTTTGGCTAGGGATTGCGATGTTGGCTGATTTTTTTTTCTTTTGGATAGGGATTGTGATGTTGGGTGATTTTTTTCATTTGGCTAGGGATTGCGATGTTGGCTGATTTTTTTCTTTTTGCTAGGGATTGCGATGTTGGCTGATTTTTTTTTCTTTTAGCTAGGGATTGCGATATTGCCTGATTTTTTTCTTTTGGCTAGGGATTGCGATGTTGGCTGATTTTTTTTTCTTTTGGCTAGGGATTGCGATGTTGGCTGATTTTTTTTTTCTTTTGGCTAGGGATTGCGATGTTGGCTGATTTTTTTTTCTTTTGGCTAGGGATTGGTGATGTTGGCTGATTTTTTTTCATTTAGCTAAAGATTGCGATGTTGGCTGATTTTTTTTCATTTGGCTAGGGATTGCGATGTTGGCTGATTTTTTTCTTTTGCCTAGGTATTGCGATGTTGGCTGATTTTTTTTCTTTTGGCTAGGGATTGCGATGTTGGGTGATTTTTTTTTCTTTTAGCTAGGGATTGCGATGTTGCCTGATTTTTTTCTTTTGGCTTGGGATTGGGATGTTGGCTGATTTTTTTTTCTTTTGGCTAGGGATTGCGATGTTGGGTGATTTTTTTTTCTTTTGCCTAGGGATTGCGATGTTGGCTGATTTTTTTTTCTTTTGGCTAGGTATTGCGATGTTGGCTGATTTTTTTTTCTTTTGGCTAAGGATTGCGATGTTGGGTGATTTTATTTTCTTTTGCCTAGGGATTGCGATGTTGGGTGATTTTTTTTTTTTTTTGGCTAGAGATTGCGATGTTGGCTGATTTTTTTTCTTTTAGCTCGGGATTGCGATGTTGGCTGATTTTTTTTTCTTTTAGCTAGGGATTGCGATCTTACCTAATTTTTTCTTTTGGCTAGAAATTGCGATGTTGGGTGATTTTTTTTCATTTGGCATGGGATTGCGATATTGGGTGATTTTTTTTTTTCTTTTGCCTAGGGATTGCGATGTTGGCTGATTTTTTTTCTTTTTGGCTAGGTATTGCGATGTTGGCTGATTTTTTCTTTTGGCTAGGATTGCGATGTTGGGTGATTTTATTTTCTTTTGGCTAGGGATTGCGATGTTGGCTGATTTTTTTTCTTTTGGCTAGGGATTGCGATGTTGGCTGATTTTTTTTTCTTTTAGCTAGGGATTGCGATCTTACCTAATTTTTTCTTTTGGCTAGGGATTGGGATGTTGGCTGATTTTTTTTCTTTTAGCTAGGGATTGCGATGTTGGGTGATATTTTTTTCATTTGGCTAGGGATTGCGATGTTGGGTGATTTTTTTTTTCTTTTGCCTAGGGATTGCGATGTTGGGTGATTTTTTTTCTTTTAGCTAGGGATTGCGATGTTGGCTGATTTTTTTTTCTTTTGCCTAGGGATTGCGATGTTGGCTGATTTTTTTTCTTTTCCCTAGGGATTGCGATGTTGGCTGATTTTTTTTCTTTTGGCTAGGGATTGCGATGTTGGCTGATTTTTTTTTCTTTTGGATAGGGATTGTGGTGTTGGGTGATTTTTTTTTCATTTGGCTAGGGATTGCGATGTTGGCTGATTTTTTTCTTTTGGCTAGGGATTGCGATGTTGGCTGATTTTTTCTTTTAGCTAGGGATTGCGATATTGCCTGATTTTTTTTTTTTTGGCTAGGGATTGGGATGTTGGCTGATTTTTTTTCTTTCGGCTAGGGATTGCAATGTTGGGTGAATTTTTTTTTCTTTTGGCTAGGGATTGCAATGTTGGGTGATTTTTTTTTCTTTTGGCTAGGGATTGCGATGTTGGGTGATTTTTTTTTCTTTTGGCTAGGGATTGCGATGTTGGCTGATTTTTTTTCTTTTGGCTAGGGATTGCGATGTTGGCTGATTTTTTTTTCTTTTGCCTAGGGATTGCGATGTTGGCTGATTTTTTTTCATTTGGCTTGGGATTGCGATGTTGGGTGATTTTTTTTCTTTTGGCTAGGGATTGCGATGTTGGGTGATTTTTTTTTCATTTGGCTAGGGATTGCGATGTTGGCTGATTTTTTTCTTTTGGCTAGGGTTTGGGATGTTGCCTGATTTTTTTTCTTTTGGCTAGGGTTTGGGATGTTGCCTGATTTTTTTTCTTTTGGCTAGGGATTGCGATGTTGGCTGATTTTTTTTCTTTTGGTTTGGGATTGCGATGTTGGGTGATTTTTTTTTTCTTTTGGCTAGGGATTGCGATGTTGGGTGATTTTTTTTTCTTTTGGCTAGGGATTGCGATGTTGGGTGATTTTTTTTCGACCGACACGGATGTTTTTAGTCTTTTCTTTTTTTCTGAATTTTTTCCCCGATACCAGTTTGTTTAAACATAATTTTACATTAAAATTGTACTATCTGGGTTGTTTTTTCACACCAGTCGAGTATAGGTCTTAAAATAATACATCATATATATATATATATAAGCAAGTGTATATATATATATGGTAGACTCTCCCGTCGTATTCTAGTTATGCAGCTCGGTTCCTAGGAAGCGACAGCCCGACACCAGCACATATGATTTTGATTATAGTGGTGAAGGTTTTGTGCAGGACCATCCATACTTTTTGAAGGGCCGAATACAGAGACCTGGTGCACTACGTGCCACAAGGTCCCCAAACGACCCTCCACAGGTTTTGAATTCAGAGTTGTCCTTCTCCTAGATCAGTTTTCATCCAAGGCTATAGAATCTAGTCTGTCCTTCTATTTACCCATAGCTGGAAGTAGAAGAAGAGGCTTAATACCTTTCCCAGGGGAAAGTGAATGTAATGGATTCGACTGGAATTCGAACTCGACACCCCGATTCCTCAATCCAAGACGCTATCCAGATAGATAGATAGATAGATAGATAAAATACACTTTAAATATATGCTATGTTTATGGGTAAAAGTGCTCAATATCAGAGATAGAGCGTATGTAAATATAAAACTGAACGTTGAAGTGAACACTCAGATGCAACAGACTGTTTCATGCTAAACAAAATCATCAGAACTTATGATTGCGTTTAGCATGAAACAGTCTGTCGCCTCTGAGTGTTGACGTCAATGTTCATTATATATATATATATATATATATATATATGATAAATTTTCCTTTTGTCTTTAATCATGAGATAAAATATAGTACTTTTATGCTGTATTTATGTGTTAAAGTACTCAATATCAAAGATAGAGCGTATGTAAATATAAAGGTGGACACTGAGGTGAACATCAAGCGACAACAGCCTATTTCAAGCTTCAAGGCAATCTTCACGCGATTTGGTTTTGTTTTGATCTGACTATCTATATGTGATAGTCAGTGGTGCATTATGGTTAGCAAGGTCTATTGTATTATCTTGACGGTTATCAACTCCGCTGTAACGATTATCTTTCAAATTATTCTAATGTCTATTGAGTAGAAATAATTGTAAATCCAAATGTGGTCTTCTGTTAAC